TGCAGAGCTGAATGAACAGTGCTTAGTGATGCACGAACGATGTACCATAGGACAAAGGCACCTGGTAGAAAGAGCACCCAATGCAAAATGCACCACAGAAAATAACCACGCGACCGATTTTCCGGGGATTCTTTCTTCTTATTTTTCGACATGTTCAACACAGTAATTTTGACTGTGGATCGAAAGAGAGAAACACACACTCAATGCAAAAAGTGTCTGGAAAATGAGCTATCGCTCAAGGGGATGATTTGATTTGAATTCAGAAACTCATCAGCTGACATTTCACGAACAGCTTCAAGTGGAAACAAACCTTTCATACACCAGGATTACTCGATATAAAAGCAATCAAACAACTAATTAAAAGTCAAAGAAAGCATGCAGTGCTAAGGCTATATATTCAAAGACACTTGAAACAATCAGTATAAAATCAGTAAGATCATTACCGAGAGAAAATTGCACCTAGCAAAAGCACCATACAGTTTGCAAATGTACTACAGAGGCTCGTTTCAATACACATCCAAAGTGATGCTGCATCGAAGAAAACAAAGGAGAAATTCCAGAAGAGACGCAAATTCGGTCTCATAAAACAATTGGTCGTTGAGTGCTTTCTGCTGGGTGCATTTCCGGTTGGATGGTTTCCTATCCTGACAACACGTACATGAATATGTCGCGAACAAGGAATGGAAAGAGTAGCTGGTGACGCGCGTCGATTTTTTCGAATAAACCCCCGACAGTAGCGCAACTGTCATTTCTCATTTCAAATGAAGGAATGATGATTTTTCTCGGAGGAAATTCTGAATTAATTCGTTTCGCGATAACTCTGCGTCCATTCATAAACAATGTTCAGGTTAAAAAAAAAAAAAAGAAACATTCCACACGAACAATTGACGTATTTATCCAAGATTGAAAGGGACAATTTTAAGGCCAGACTCAGTGAGCTTTCCTTCAGAAGCTTAATTTTTCTTAGGAATCCATCAGATGGCTGAGCTTATGATCGAACTGCTACTGGAGGTTCGTTGCTGAAAACAAAGACCAGGATCCGTGCAGGAACATCGATCGTAATTAGAAAATTTCTCTTTCCGCGGCTCTGCGAGGACATGAAGCAGATCTCGAAGACTTTTCGAGTCACGTAATTAGGAATACTCGTTTATGCATCTGATTGATTCTGAGCTGCAGATTAATGAAAGAAGCTCAGCTGTTGATGAGTACCAGAAAACACAGTGAAGGACAGGGCCGTTACTGATCTTCGCCATCGTCTCCGCGTAGTTACGCGGACACCCGAGAGTTCATAAACTCGATCATCCAAGAATTTCACGGCTGGATGAATTTCATCGCATCGTTACGCATCGAACTCGTCACCTGTCACTGCTGCTTTTCATAACGCTCATCTAGCTAATCGCTCTCTTACATTCGAACGGAATGAATGGGCAAGTCCAGGATCTCCATTTTCTGAATTACATCCAACATGATTTCGAAAATGTGACCAGCATCAGTTCTCAGATGCTGACGCGAACAGCACGGGAGAATCCAAGCCACATTCGGAAATTCCTCCCCTTGGACGGCTCAGTACTCGAACGAAGTCATTCACGACTTCGACATGCGAGTGTGATTGCAAGACCACCCGAGCAAGTTCGAACAGTAGTACTGTGGTATTCTCTATAGCGTCGAGCAAAGGAATAATCTCACGGAAATTTCTTACTTGCATTGCGAGGTTCGGACGGATAGTAATTGAACCGAAATCACTGCACACGAACGTCGTTCACAGCAGATAGAAAATAAGCGACTGCGGCACAGCTAGGGGACGAGCCCGCTATTACTAAGCGCTCATACTGACCGCGGCACGGGATGACATGCACTTTCAGCGAGCTTCTAGAATCTAGAGAGGCGACGCCGCGATGATAATAAAAAAAGGATATGAGAAAGTACCACCGAAATGCACGCGAGTGAAAATAATGCTGAACACCACGCCCCGGAACCATAGACAAGATTCTCAAGGAATTAGCGATTGCCCCGCGGGGACTTCGGGCTCTCGAGCGCCGGTCGAAGAGCCACATGCGCGGCGGCCGATGCGAAACGACGAACTGAGAGCCTGCCTCATCAGCCGGAGCGAATACGTAAGTTGCGCCGCGCCTATGCACCATTATATCCCACGCGTCCGCGCAGGAGGACGAGTATTGGAGAAACTTTTCCCGGCGGCGCGTTTTGAATTACATGCCTCGGAACAACGGGAGCCTCGATAGCGTTAGTCCTTTTAACGTCACGAACGTACAGCACAAATTCTTGCGAAAAAAAAGAGAAGACGAAACGCAACGTCTCCCACGGGACGTCTTAGACGGACAACGCATCGTCTGGTTATCTCACCGCAGTTGAACAGTCGCCTCGCGCCATGCATGCCAAAGCTGTTCTCGATTCATCTTGTGCGGTTCAAAAACATTTTTTTTCCCGAAACATTCTTCGAAATATGAATTTAAAATACGTGGGTTTCTTCGTAAGTTGTCTTTTTCGTCGGAGTCTTGTTCGAAGGATGGATATGGACGAACTTTTTAAGGAGTGACATTGGATCATTCTCTGACCACTGCTCCAATTTTTGCTCACCTAGTTTACATAAAAAAAATAACACAGGAAAGAGTTCAACCCACCATGGTGAAATACTGAAGGTTGCCTCCTTGCCTCGCATTTATTATAAGTTTGAAGGTCGTTAACCTGGTACCGAGTACTTGAGAAAAATGGATAACTTTTGTTAAAAATATCTCGAAGTCACAATATTTTAAAAGCTTGCGCGAATGATGAAAGTTTTGATGCGGACTGTTTTTTGCGTCAGCGATACAGAACGTGAGGAATATCAAAACAGGTTGATAAAATCCGGGATTGTAAAGAATGAAGAAAATCTTCAGCAAAGTACAGTATCTGATTTATTCATAGCAATATTCCGGGGTTTCCAGGATTTATACTCCGAAACTTGGGTTCTCGGGAAGTGCAGGTCAGGGTACTGATGACAAAACTTCTGAACACCTATTTCATCTTGGAATCCTATTTTCCCTGAACATTTTCTTTTCTACCTGAAGTAATTCACACGATTGAAATCAAGGTACAGAGCGAGTATACATGGCCAAACTTTTTTGTGTTATGAACATTTATTGTATGCATGACATGCATATATGCAATGATGCCGAACTAATACTGCACGAAAATTTTTGTGAGGGAATTTCGGCTTCTCCTCGCATTCAGTTAGAAATAAACACTCCAACAATACCATGCGACAAAGGTGCGCTTCATTCCAGACTTTTCAAAGCGGCGAAGAAAAAACGAGGAAATTTCGATTTTCGTAACTTCCTCGGTGACCCTCGAAACCCTGTTGGTAGAAAGGTTTAGTCTGGAATCAGACACTTCATCAGGCAACTCAAGCTCACTGTCGTTTTCACCGTACGTAACCTTCTAAGGCATGCTGTCGGATTTTGAAGTCGGTTTTATTTGCACGCACCGACGGATATGATGAATTGAGCCCCACGCGAGTTATCTTCGAGCATCGTTGATTCGAACAGGACTTCTCTTTCTTCGGATTAAAAAAAAACTACTTAAACTGTCTGTAACACTCCCACGTGGACCCAACTCATATAAATGCAGGTGTGAGAGCGAAGCCCGGGCTTCATCTCCTGATTCACCTCGTCAAAGAAAGTTCGTGTGTGCACACGAGGGCACCTTTCGTAGGGAAATGAATGGCGTCGGGGTCGTGTAACGCGTGTAATTCGACCTGGGCGTTCTGCGTGATGACTGCATTCCGGCGTAAAGCGCCAAAGGTTTGAGATCCCGCGGGAATTTCAGCTCGGAACCGTTCATAACTTCCAAGCACGGCGACGGAGATGTATTTGCACTGCGAGAATCTCGCCTTAATCACGACGCCATTAGCTTTCGTTCGGCCGCGCGTGACCCACTGCCCCAACATTTCCCGGAATTTTTCGTGTCACTGAACTGCACGATCTGATTCCTGGAAACAAGATCACACACCAGAATAAAACCATTTCAAAATCTCCGGAGAACATGCAAGGCTCCAATTAATTTGTCGACTGAACACTACTATACAGTACAGTATTTAGTACCGTACTATACTTTCGTGCGTTTTGATCATCCCAGCGCGAGTGCTGTGCTGTCGGCAACAATTCTTCGAAAAACTGCAATAGGCCACAAGAAATTTGAAGCTCTTGGAGAGCGAATTACCCCTCCGCATAAATGAAGACGTCAATTTCTTTCAATTCAACAGTTTTTTTACTCACCCTCAGGCAATTTGGAATGAGTCAGGAACTTTAAAAATTGCGCAGTAAAGCTTGGATATGCAGTACTGTATATACATATTTTCTATCTAGCGAATTACCGTAAAGCCATAACACATGGGGAATACTGTATATCGGGAGTATATAGACTCAATGGCTTTAGTCAGTACGGTCTATGCGCAAATACGATATCTTCAGTAGTCCACAGCATCAATTTTGAGGGTAGATTCTTTCGGGGGGGGGGGGGGGGGGGGGGGGGGTAGGTGGGGGGGGGGGGGGGGGGGGGGGGGGGGGGGTTGGTTGTGGTATGTACTCGATTAAATACGTGGCCCAGCTATAGCGATTTACGCAAATAATTGAAATAATGAAGTCTACGCATGAGAATCTCACAAAAATGGCTTTATTGACAATCGTATTAGCAGGTCTGAACGCAGCGCTTCTATAAACGTTCTTCAGATTCCCCGGTTTCTTCCAGCACAAACCGTTTACAAACATTTGAACGGAAAAAGAAGCGTGGAAATTATGGCATCATGGAAATTGGTGAGCAAACATTTGTCATCCTCGTCGTCCCTGCTCCTTAAAAGTCACCGCTTCCTTTGCTGCCAAATCAACACCACGAGCTCTTTCCCCGCGGTCTCCCGTTGACTAGACGAAATAAATAATAAAAAAAAAAACCTCGGAGCCGAAACAACTGAAATCAAACAAATATAAACACTGGCATCCCGGTCGCTATCATCTTCCTCCGAGCAACACGGTATTCGGAAGTTGCACGCCTTGGAGGAAATAGTAACGCTCCAGTTCCGCAACAATCCGCAAGCAAGGTGTTGGGTCGCTGGTGTCCGCCGTCACGATCGTGCACAGACGCTCTCGCTTGCATTCTTTGTCGTTGCATTGGCGGAAGAATTGCGAGTTCCGGTGAAAGTGCCTGGAAATTTCCGGGGTAAAATCAACGCTTTTAAAATTAGTCTAATCCGTCATCATCTAAACTCTCTCCCTCCATCGTATATTATATTCTTCCCCCGAAATTCCGGAACGTTGGTGCAGCACTGCCACTGCTGGTATACGAGAATTGTGAGGCTGTCCCAGTTGGACGCGGCCTCTGATATTTCTATAATAGGTGGCGTAATTGTAGAAAAAAATGCGTGATATATAGCCCATGATGTTCTTAGATTCTGGGATTTTTCGGAACGTCTTTTTTTTTCTTTCTCAAGTTACTGCATGATGATGAGTGAAAACTTTCCAGTTTGTACTGCCAGAGTTCTCCATCCATGTCACAGGGTGTTAAACTTTTGCGAGACCAGCTAAAAAATGAAATTTTGTCGTTTTAGCCAATGACTTTCTATATTTTCAGTAATGGTTAAATCAACAACAAATTTAAGGAGGAAAGTACACGCGATGCTGAAAAAGGTCGAGTTGCTGGGCATTCGACGGAGTGATACGATGATTATACGTTACGTTGATAATATAATTAAAATGTAATGAAAATAAATTTGAAGATTCCATGCAAGGAAGTTGAATTTGAAGTATCCATGGGTGTGGACATTATGATAGGAAATATCGGTAAGCACAGCGAGGAGTCAAAGATGTGCTGGTACCCAAATACTGAGATAGCGATCTAGAAAATGATTGAAAAGCCCTTTACGAAAATAATCAAGTATACCAGCGGCGCTCTTATGTTGTTGTAAAAAGAAGACCCCACATTTTTGATTGACTACGTTGAACGATTCCCAGAGCACCGCATCACATTTTTCAATGACACGTGTCTTCGATTGCTCTCCTGATAAAACACCCTCTGCGTTTATAGAAACCTGAGTCTGTGTGTGCCTTCTGGGCACAACAGAAGAAAGCTTTTTTTTTTAGGAATTGAACCTCTCCAACGGAAATATCATGCATGATGGATCGCTTGTAGTTCCCTGTAAGATTCCTCTGGGTTCAGCGGGGCTTCTCATGAGATCTGTGGCATTGATAATGTATCCTGTCTGCGTGATTGTTAACAAGCGTGATTATGCCTATAAAATTGAATATATTTAGTCCTTGATTTAATATATCGTGAATATTTTGCTCATACGACACATGCAAAGTTCGCGTGGTTATCAAAACTATGCTGGGAGAAGAGTGTGATAAAATTTATTTACATCATTTGAATGCTTTAGAAATGACTGTCATTGTCAATTTTTCAAGGCGTTTGTCGTACAAAACTCCTTCACAATACAGTATTAATAAATTAGCAGTACGGTATCAATATTATTATCGAGCAAAATTTAATTTACTGAATTGTACTCTACTGTACACGTAATTATTGAGGTTGAGGTAGGTGTGTGCGCTTTCCGATGTAATCTGTTCTGATAGTTTCGAGTACTGCATTTGCTAATGTATGAACTGGGTATTATTCATTTTTTTGGTTTAGCTCACGTCGACACCAGAAACTTCCTTTTAGTGCAGCACTGTATATTTTTTACATTTTTCGAATCGCAATAGAACCTCTTTCATTCGAACTTCGACGAAAAAGTGCCAAATTCTGAGCCAACCACATTAAACGAAGTAACTTCTATCATTCTGAGTTTAACAACGTTATTCCTCTCGGATTAATATGCATTTTACAGGAGCTTTCAAAAATCTCAGGTGGAAAAGAGTAGCATCATAATGGTAAAAAAATCAGATAGTTTCGTAAATGGCCTCAAGGGAAGCAGCTTACAATTTAGAAAAGCTGTTCGGAGCATTTTGGAAATGTGTGGTCCTTCAAGATTCGCGGAAATGTCGGTAATACGACGTCAGGTCGATTTTCGATTTTGTGCATACCTGCGTAAGCATTTAATTTTACTGCCTCGATCGAGTTACGCTACATGACCTTGGGTAATCTAAATTATACTGCACATTAAAATTGAAAACTGTATACTTGATTTGACATTCGGTCGGAATCGAGAAAAGCAGAATACGAATGTGCAGCGCGGCAGTTTATATCTAGAAAAGCCGGAGTATTCCTCTTATGCCTGCTGTTCCAGCATAACTCGACGGTCTCTTCAAGTATGCGTCATGAAAGCTCAGGCTTTCATCGTGTTAGCTGCATCTGACAGGAAATTACTGTCCATTCGCATCCTTCGTGAGCGGAAAGCATATCGAGTCGTTTCATGGAGAGAGCTGAAACGTGAGGTTCATCTCAGAAGAGGCCTCACCGGTAGTGTGTCTGGAACGCGTCGTTGCTCCAAATGAGCTTCGACACCCAACTGCTCCAAGATTTAGGACTCAAATCGTCCATCTTGTAAGCAGTTTTGGCGGAATAGAGCTCGAGCCAGCGCGGCTGATCGAAAGCGTTTGCCGACAGGAGGTCCAAGTAATGCGTCGTGTAGTCTAGTACCTCCTGTGAAGTAAAATAAAAGAAACCCCGAACCTTCTGGTCATTCAACGCGGTGTCAATAATACCGGCATTGCAAAACGGCCGCAAATGATGCCGCAACAGGGCGGTTTCGAAGAAGCGAGTACGCCCGGGGAATTGTGGGTCTCTGTCGGGTCAAAGGGCTGTTTCGACAACGCGCAGTCAATTTTCTGACCCCGTGTGCGGATAACCCGCCGAAGGCTGCGATGAAGTCGTTAGCAAAGCGGTGATCACCTTTGTGTCCGCGTCCATAGTGTACACCCTGTAAGCCGGATTGATCCCGACGAACGGTGTCACGCTCGGGCCGACGTAGGCGACGTTGAAGGGCTGGCTGTCCTTGTCGTAGAAGATTTGAACATCGTCGTAGTGCGTGTGCCCGTAAAACTGGCCCGTGACTGTGTCACGAAATCTGCAGACGCGGAAGTGTTCCATCAATACCACGTTTTATCGGATGAGGGCGAGGGAGGAAGAATTACGAGGAAAATCACGTAGGATTCCATCGTGCAAAGAATGCTTCGAATAACAAACGATCATTTTAGCGCAGTTCAAACCCACCTTCCCCTCAGAGAAAATTAATCCCATAAAATTGGAAAAAATCCCTCCCCTATTTGCAACCCTACAGCAGTAGCTTTTGTTCAAAGTTCTTCCCGAAGTTCTATTCCCTAGAAATTTCAGTAGTTTCCTGCGTTTCCGGACTTCGTTGATTCTTGAAGGAATTTTGCTGAAAACCGTACTGTTAATGCACTTATGACCAACTGATGCTGGATTTTGATTCGTGAGTACGGTAATTTCATTCTTTTTTGCTTAAATTTTCCTTTTGGAACGCAAACTATTTTCCCTCTGAAATGTACCGGGGGAAATCATACTACGAACCCCACAAGCAAAAAATTGAATTGTTGAGACAAATTAATTTTGTTGCACGCGGTACCCCCTTTAAACGGTGGTGTAATTTAAACGTGTAAGTGGTAAGCCGACATTTTCAAGTCTATATGCGGCGGAGGTTTACAAAAACTGGAACTGATATTTGAAACAAGACTTCGGTTGTAATCGGACGATTATAAAATAAATCGTAATACAGTATAACTGAAAGAGATTGGGAGAACAGGACGAAAAAGGATGCCGGATCCACGACGAGATAATGGCTTATAATTTTACCCAAAAAATAGGCGTATAAAATCCTGAGGTGCGGCCTATAATCGAGACCATGATGGAAACGGATCAGGCAACGGCAGGCAAAGATCCAGCCATAAATAGGAGAGCAACCACGAGATTATTATCCCAGTTAATTTAAAGTTGGTTTCTTGGACTGTTCCAGGATCAGTGAAGCTTTGACCATGCTAATTTTACAGTAATTCCATACCAATAAAATGTTCATCATATACAGTAGTTAACGCATCAAATCTCGCTAATATTTTATATCCTCATTTTCCCCTCGAACATTTAAAACATCTTAGCGACCTAACAGTTTATTTTCCCTCAGATTGTCGCAAGAAATCGCGGTGTGGCCTGTTATTTGATTTAAAAAAAATACGGGCAAGTGATGGTGAAGACGGGGCTGAATGAATAACCCATTCCATCATCAGAAATTCAAATTTGAAGTACACGCGAACTTTTTGAAATAAAAACGACACGTGTGCTGCTCAGTATGGGCTGAATGAAGGGATTGCAGTTGGTACTTGGCAGTGTTCAGGAGATGGCATACGCGAAGATAGCCATGTCTTGACATTGGTACCATTCTCAATAAGGTTGAAAAGTACTATGTTATCCATTTATACCTCTCCATAAGCAGACGGAAATTCTTGCTCCAAGTCGGGATGCAATCAGAATACCCTGGAGGAATGTGTCCTATTATATGAACCCGTTCCCCGGCCTGCTCCGCCTCCAAGAGTTGGTTTGAAAGCCACTCCAGCTCTCCCGCAGGGTCAGGAATGTTCAGATAATTGAACCTTCCAAAAGAAGCATTTAAAGGATCAGAATACGAAATACGCGGACCCGGGAGAGGTTTCTCCCTGCTTACCAGTTGAGGTAGTAGCAGTAATTCGTGTTCATGGCGATGAGACGCAGTCCAGGAACCTGCTGGAGTTTTACGGCATAGAACCCGGCCTTCTTGATGGTCGGCATTTGGTTTTCGTCCACGTTAAAAATGTGCGGCCATTGTTCGGCTACTTCGTTGTAAAACCACGCTTTGCTGAAGTCTGGTCGCTCTTCTTCCGTTTGCGGTGATGGGAACCTTAGAAGAGATAATTTACGCTCGCAACAACCTCTTGAACGCCCTTCGCTCTCCGTTCGAACAATAACTTTGCATAATGCGGCTCCCTTCCGACATTATCCCCGATATTATCTCGGTCTCGCGAACCTGACTTAGCATGCATCCCCAAGCGACTGCGAAATAGCCAAATAGATGCTTTAATTCGAGGTAACTCGCGTTTTCTCATGAATGCGGAAGCAGATCCATTATATTTCATACTTACTCTCTTGAAAAAAAAAAACAGCTGCGAACATTTAAGGACTGAGCAGTTCAACTCTCAATTCTCGTTAAATTGATGCTTTACACCCGTAATCGTCAAAAGAATTCATCCGGACGAAATTGTGTCTTTCTCAAGCGCTCAGAAAGCTTTATCCTTACGACGAAGACGATTGAGTTTTGCCTTATTGGTCGGATTTAACATTTATTGCATTATAACTATAGGCGGAGGTGACAAGAAGGTTTTGGTTTCCCCGACTCAGCTGCTTTCCGACTAGATTGCACACTTGGTGATAGTAGTAATTTGAATACAGTATGTTGGTGATTTATTAAACTAGTCAGGGAAATGCAGGAAAATGGCCAGTGCTTTTCAGTATAATTTCAGCAGGGATAAAGGCAAGTGATACTATTCAACGTTAATCCTGAAGAAGGTAAGACAGTAAGGAATTATTATTTTTTCTTCAAAAAGTCGGATTACAACGACCAAACCTACGGTGGTCACATTAAAAGTATCAAGTGTAGAGAACAGTATTTATACTGTACTACCTTATTTCCTCATGTAAAACTTAAATTTCAACCGACAAATCACAAATCACGTACAATTCATATCAGCAGCATCAAATTAACTGAATATCAGAAAGATAAAAAAAATGGATCATCACAGGCTGTGGATGAGTTAGGCTGCAAAAATGTCTTTGTATCCAAGCATGGGGGCAAACAATGTAAAGTACTGTAATACAGTGTCTAACGAATTTGAAGGTAGTAATTGAATTTTCTTTAGACGAATGATCAATGGAAGCGCGGATAACTCAGGTCTTGCTGCGTCTTATTCTATTTAGTCTATACACATTTTTCTGTCAAAATTCGAGCGTTTATTATTCAGTGATAATGCAGCTGTAATCACAGTACTGCAGGCAGCAGCGATGACATCTTGCTCTCTGCTTTGAATATGCGCCCCAGCTGCTAATCGTTCTTTATTATGCAAATTTCCAACACAGTAGAGCTTCTTCCGAGCGTTTTCTACCAATAACTTTCATTTTAAATTTTAAGGAGTAAAATTACGACTTCATTATTTACAAATCTACGGACTGGTGAAGTAAAAGTGCACCAAGATGCAGTCCGTTTACGTTTTTCATGTAGTAAACGTTTTAACCGTAAGGACTGTAACTGAACTTAGCTTGTCAGTGTCGAAATGTTCTGCTATAAAACCCAGGATGATAGAGATCAAAAGGTGGTTGGGCAGTACTGTACCATGCATTTTTCATATATTGAATAATTGATTACGAATATGTTCTGCATTTGATAGCATTCATAGTTTGAATTCTCCACGTTTCGATAATCTCTTCGCAGTACAGTATAATCACAAGCAATCTGAATAAAATATTTTGCAGAATTATCATGTAGCATTTGTCTTTTTATCCTCAACCCTCTGACTATTTCGCACACGTCTATGGTTAAAAGTACCAAAAGACTTTAATTTTTGAGTTCGAGACAGAGAAGATTTTAACGGAGAGATTTACGTCGTATCGCAGCACTATGCACACTTCCCACTGCATCTGATTACGCAGGAGACCACGCGCATCAAAGGTGCGATTTATCACGTGAAGCAATGGCAATCGTCGGTGTCCATCCGAGCTTGGTGCAATCGTGTGAATGGCTGGAGAGAAACTATATTTTTTTTTATCTTTTTATGATGCATTAAATTTACATCCGTAATACTGTATTGACAGGATTATCAGCCGCACGCGAGCATAAAGGCCACAACCAGATTTAGTGCAGCTATTCGGATGAAAACAGTTCAGTCGACAGTACAAAAATGGAAATTATCAACGTGCAAGAAAATGCGGTTCTGCTTTGAACTTGAAAAATGCAGCAATTACGCGGAAAGCACTTTTCCCCGTTTGGTCTTTTCGTCAATTAAATTTTAATTTGAACAATTAGTAAATCGATCGGCTCAGTCAAAGCTTGATGAAACATCGAAATTATTTAACAAAAAACGCGAGAAACACTCGGAAGAATCGCCAGGTTTGTTTTCTCTGCGGTAGGATATTTTGTTTGTCGTACTTTCCCCTGACTTGATCTACATATGATCATATGATCCAGTATTCCCCTCAACTTAATGCCTAGGACAGTATATAGGCCCCACTTTTCATACCCTAACCTAAAATACACTGAGGACGGTCAGAGTCCACATTCCATTCATGTAATTAGTCGGAAAATGCAGCGCATCATAACGTAAAATTTACTTGATGATGCCCACGTTAAAATGTGCTATTGATTTGCTATCGCTGTTCTTTCGCCTCATTTTTAGGATTCAGAAACGCATACGGTTTTTCTGCTTGGCTCCATGAGTCGTCATCGAGTTCAAGAGAAAAATGGATTCGACTTCTGCATTGATCAGTCTCACTTCTATCAGAGTTTCATTAAAACTTTTTCGAAGATACAGTATTCGTGTACTGTATAGCTTTCTTCAAGGTCTTTGTTTGCTGGTTCAAACCGGATGCGCCAGACACAATGCGCGGGGGACAGCCAAGATTGCTTCAGCGGCTGTTATAAATACATTCTCGATCCTGGGTCGCGTAAATTAAGTACCGCGCTGCTGAACGCTCAATCGCCGACGTCAGTGATAAAGGCAATCCTGAAATCCCATTCCATTCAGTGAACTTTATTTTTTCATGCAGAGTCTAACGCGTAGCGGCATTTGGTTGCATGTTGCACCACGACTGGCCATCTCATTTCGGAAGCAAGGCCCAGTAGAGCTGCTCATTAATACAAAGTATGTCTGGCGCTGTATCGATTCTTTTTCCAGTGCTGCATTGAAATTGTATTGTTCATATGGGCGTAAAAGCGCGTGCAGTGTTCCGAGCGATCTTTATCACTGCTCACTCCGAACGCCCAGCACGCGAATGCTCTGACGTCGAGTAGGAAAACAAGAATATATATACATATCAAGTTTTCCATTAGGCGGAGCTGGCCATTCGCATTGATGGATCTCCTCGAGAGTTCACACTGTTCGCAGCTACTAAGTATACTCGAGATTTTTATCTGAAGTACAGTATTTTACTTTTCACTTGCAAGACCTACGATCCTGCGAAAAGCACGTATTTTGAACTGAGACCTTCGATCAAGTTCTTTTCACGAAATTGAATTACGAAGCCACACCAGGGATCTTCACTCAGTATTAGATCAACGCATTCGTTCTTTGGAAATTTAGTCGGTACCGAAGCATCTGTAGGCTGAGCCACAAGAAAATTGACGCATTTTCAACGCCAGATGCACTTGAAAACTTGAAATTATCATATTAATAACATATCCTTCGTGATTCAAAGTGCATCGGTATGACTAGCAGAGCCAAATGAATCACATGTATGCTGTACCTTGACAAAAATTGATGAGCTTTGTAAATAGGATTAACGACCTTATTCGAACCAAGATTGTGCTTGTTGATGCACGTATAGCTTAAAAGTACGCATTGCGAATAGTCAGCAGCGCCTTTGCGATCAATTGGAATGCTTATAGAGGTATTCGTCAGTATTTTCCAAAAATGTCTCGGAAATCTATTGATAGGATTTCGAAGAGAAAAATAAGGATACCTGAAAAGTTTCAATCCCCACCACGGGTGGAAGAGACTGCGGCTGATGGAGAGCTGAATTATTCCGCCTTATTAACGGAAATATTTGCCAATAATTTTTGAAAAACTGACGTCGGAAAGTTGCCGTAATATTTTGAAAAGAAAAGTCTCGCAAATTTTAATTTTATTTCGAACAGTGGCAAATTCTTGCGTGACTATAGGTATTCGCAAGCCATCATGGACGCTTAATTGGTACAACCTTCACGCCGTCCTAGAAAGCATGTGGCAACATATTTTAAACGATACTTTTTTTCAAAACGTTCATGTTGGTCATACTAATTCATCTAAAAGTATCAATCGATCATTTAATATAAGATTGGACCAGCTTTTATCATAGTTGACATAGCAGCTTGATCCGTTCAGGATTTACAACCGCATTAAAATCCATTTTTTGGTTCAGACGAGTTTTCAACCTTTCGGCTCGCAGATTCTTATATGGAATCGATGAATACGGGAGAATCTAAGCGTAAAAAAATTTCTGGGTCATGATTTTGAGTTACAGAGTTGGTGATGATTGCCTGCTTTTTACGGGGCCCTACTTCGATCTAGCATATTATACCTTAGTACAGTACAGTACTGTATACTGACGAGCATATGTCAACTGATCCCGTGCCACTTCCACGTGCAAAAAAAAATATTACAGTGCAGTTTTAAAATTTTTTCTCATTTTCCTCGCTCGACCGCGGAGACCCGAAAATTCGTCGCGAAACCTCTTATTATTCCCTAATTTACGGTGCCACCTTTCGACTGTATAGTACAGTACAACAAATACTGTACAACGGAATTGGAGCTGCGTGATAGCGTGATAACCAACCATCCCAAACGCTTATGACACAAGAGCGACACCTATCTAATCAAAGTTCAACCCCGTAAAAATTATAAGACATTTGAATTCAAGGATATGCCTGATGCACATGCCATGACGACTTGACGAGCATTTTTAACGGATTCAATTTACGAACGCAGTGGATGTGACCGAACCGCTCGCTGACGAGAACAACTACTAAACGGGCCCAAGAAGATTTCAGGAAGATTCAAATTCTTACGCACATGTTCACGGGTTCAGCCTCGTGATTCCCTAGGGCCGGGTAGATTTGGAACGCCGACAAGTGTTCCTCGAATATCTGGACCGTGTCCCTTAAATTCTGCAACGCTTCTTCCCGCGTGATGCTCCACACATTGTGAGGGGGGATATCGCCTGTCCATATGACATACGAAGCATCCTGCCGGATCGAAAAACCGCAAAAATGTTTATGCTAGCTGGGCAACAACAAAAAATCGTGATCGCGGGCACATACAGAAACACATCGCATTGCGCACGAGCCGACTATGACAGGGCTCAACAGTCTTTAGCATCTGTTGCTGGATGTTTTGCGGTCAAACGAGAGAAAAAGGAACGAAGGCGAAGGATAAACACTTGATTGATAGCTAATAGACGCGAGTGAGATCAATCTTCTTTTCAGTTATTTCACACGTTCACTTCTCTGCATGAATCTCGGCTGAGAAGCGCGCGGAGCGTTCAACACATCAGTCACGGCCTGATTAGCACGAGTTATTGTTTTTTAACAGTCGTCCGGAAATCGGGTCACCTTGGACGCATACCTGGTGATTCGCGGCGATGTGCGAAAGCAAATTTTCCAGCAAAATTTTGGGCGTGTCGCAATCCCTGTAGTCGCCCCATTTTCCGGCACCTTCACTCGACCTCACGGGGCTGCCGTTGCTGGAACGGCAGCACAACGGCCGGCCGCACACGGCATTCGACCCGGCCTGATAGTCTGGGTCGTAATGCGTATCCGATATGTGGATGACTTTAAACGTTTGTCCCGATTTCGCCTCCCTTCGAACCTGGAACACGGAAGGGTTCCCTGTTTTAAGCTCTGCTTCGTAAACGAGACTCATCCCGGCTTCTTTTCACCACAGAACCCGACCAAAATGGTCAGGAGAAGGGGATTCACGATGAAGCTCAAAAGTTCCTGTTAGTGCGCGTTTGCATTAAAAGTAAAGTAAAAAAAAATAATTATCCACCGAGTCCGTGAGAATGAAAACAGTTGGGATGAACAATTCAATAGTTTTGAAGATACAGTACAGATTAGAGTATAATCGCAGCACAAACAGCAGGACACCAGAACTTTTTGGATGCATTAATCATAAAATAGCTGCATTTAGAGCAGCGCAACAATCTACGCACGTAATGTACAGTAAACTACAGTAATTATAATTATGTTTCATTTTTTCCACCAAAAAGGTAAGTTCAGTATCAATTAAAGCAAGACCCCTACATGCGGAAAATTTGACATGGGGACACTTCTGTTCCCTTAAAAAGTCAATGAAAAAAGGCCCAACATGAGGACACTGACTCAACATCAGGACATTTCATGATAAAATTGCAAATAAGTTTCAGGCCAAATTACAATAAGAAACAGATATTTCCAACCCTAAAATTGATGTAAGAAAAGTTCTTGGCCATTTCTCTCATAAATTTACCATTCATTCAGCTAATTTAAAAAAATTACCGCCAGCATAGAGGGACTTCCTTCTCTCATTTTCACTTGAAAGTTAATTTTACGAAGAATTCCAACATTTTTATGTACTGTACAGAGATATCAGTATTCAATTCCCCAAATGTAAATATTGTGTTGAAATCTATTGATTGAATCAGTTTTAAATTGGGCAGCAATTTTCATTTTCATGGAATTATGGTGGGTATTCGTCCATAAAAAAACAATTAAAAATTATATAATGTAAGTATAGGGGAAAATGAGACTTGATTTAGGGACACTTGATGCACCAATTATGTCCGCATCTCGGGGTACCACTGTACTCATATCGACACTCGTTCTCGTCTAAAATCAACACGATAAACAAACCCCCTCGAAAGACTCACCAGGCTTCAAATCATAGTGGATCACAGGCGGCTTGATTTGGTTCAGATACTTGAGAGCGGAGCCGATTTGCATAATGATTGACCTGGCTTCCCGCTCGCCCATCGTCTTGTGCTGCTTGAGGTAGAAGTCCAGGTCGTGGCCGTCACAGTACTCCAGCACTGTGCAAAACGATTTGGCATCGATCTCGAACACGTCGTACAATCGCACGATCCTCGGGTGCTCCAGGCTCTTGTGGATATTGTATTCCCTCAAGGCATGTCTGGGGAAAAAGGGGAACAACGATTCAAGTTTATTTTCCACTTATCCACTCGTCATACACGATTTTTAAATCCCATGGAAAAAAGCTCTTCCTCTACAGTTTCACGCTTTCGACTCAGACAGCTTCTCCAAAAAAAAACAACAATGAGGTACGAATAAAAAATACCTACTGCTACGATTTCCATCATCGGTCCAAGAGAAAGCAAATATTATTCTGACACGAAAATTTATACTGAATCCTATTCTAAATAATCCATCATAAAATAGAGACACGAAAAATTGAACAAAGATTTAACGATACATGGGAATTCGTTGAGGCTTGAAGTTTATTCAGCCGAATTCTGACCGATTGGAAGATATTGAAGACGTGAGTCTATTCGAAAGTCTATTGTCGACGCACGGTAAGAAAAACTTCACAGAAATTAATTTCACAAAGAAGACTACGCTATTAAAAGCTTCAATCCTTGACCAAGTGGCCACAAGCGTTTCAGAACAAAATGTATAGAATTAAATGCCATCGTTGGGCGAAAACGAAAAAAAGAACGCGCAACTGTGTGTCGGAAATTAGTTCACTCGTCGCACTTCTCATTAGCAACAGTGAGTGGAGTCCAACACAATTTCCTTTCCCCTCCAAAAATGCCAAAACATTCGATTCTCTGCTCGTCACATTCAAAAAGACGGCGTCGAGCAAAAAAGGCAAACGAGGGTGACTGAATTCCCTACAACAACCATAACAACAAAAAGAGACAATCCGAATACACATCCACACACTCACTTGATGTAGTTGGCCTTCTTCTCGTCCTTCCAGTCCTTGTTGAGCTCGTGTATCTTGCAAGCCACGTATCGCTGCTCTTTCAAGTCAAACGCCTGCGTCAGAGAAACACACACACACGAGAGGAATATTAAATGCCATTCTTTCCAGTCAATGTCTAGCACAGTTCAAACGCATGTCTCATCAAAAAATCGCAAAAGCCTTCGCACAAAAAAAAAAGGTTCGAAGTATTTCTCAATAATAAAAAAAAGCCTGCGAATCGACTGCAAGTCATCATCAAAGTCAGGTTGAAACATGACTGATAGCTTTCCAGCAAGGTATCATTAATTCTTTTAAAAAATTCATTTCGTCAGATTGAAACGGTACTTTCTTCTTCTAATTTTTTTTTCTTCCTCGAGTCCCCAAAACATAAAAACAACACGAACGCACCTTGTGGACCTCGGAGAAGCCTCCTTTGCCCAACAGCATGAGCAGCAAGTACCTCTCGTTCAACACCGGATGATCGTTGAACCTCGACTGGTCCTCGTTGGCTATTCTCTTCAGTTCCCTGATGTGCAGGTTCCGGGCCCGTTCCAACTTCTCCATCTCCAGCTGCAACGCCGCGTCCTCCTTCTTGTAGCTATTCGTCCTCAACTGCAACAACCAACAAAATACATCATTCTCACTTTTCACACCTTTATTTTCCTAATACTGTACTCGAA